TGCGATGAATACAGACTAAAACATTGAAAACCAGCAAAAAAATAAGCAAATAAGTAAATCAGTTTGAAGGTGAAAAAGCAAATAAGTAGGTAAGTTAGCCGGTCAGTTTAGTGATAAGAATTAAATACGCTGGCATATAAATAAACAAATAACTAAGTAAGCGATAAATAGATAAGTAAGTAAGCAAGTGCGCACAACATACCGGTTTTCAAACTTTCTCTCCTTCTAGGACCAGCAGCATTTTTAATATAATTACATTGCTTCCTACTCAACTATAAATTCCTCAAGAAGCATCACAGCTCAGTTACGGGCTGATTTTAATAAAATATTATGTTTTCTTAATTATCATACTTTGCTCATCAAAATTATGTTAGAGTAAAGAAAAATATACACTGTGAACGATACTTCAACGTAAATCCGAACAGTGAAAAGAACAGGGAATACCATAAATGATGTTGAGTATGTGTTCAAAATTTAGCCAGAAGATTTATTGGAACTAAGAACGAAGTTTATCAATATGCCGTATCCAATTGATATTTTCTTCATCTATCACGACAAAAAAAGCTCCTGGGTTGGCGGCGTGGACGGGAAAAAAAAGTACAGGTGAGATTGTTTGAAATTGTGCCCTGACAGATATCCGAAACAATAGCAGTAGTCATCGTCAAAATCATGTCCTTTTTTTTGTTTCCTACGATAGCATGTTCTGCCGGCTGACGTAAATTTCACATAGTATCGTCGATGTCCTCAAAGTATCGAATCGGAAAGACCGTGCGCACCCCTGCAGTTCAGCTGTGTTGAAGGCAGTGACGTACCGCTGACGTCAGCGCTGAAATTGATCGCTGGCTGTGGCGGAGAAAGCGATTGAATGAAAAATGTTTGGAACCTCTCATCGCGGCCATGTAGTGACAGACTTTTTTTCTGTCAGATGAGCGACGTGCAGGATGTTATGCAAAAAAAGAAAAAAAAAAATAGGATGGATAGAGTGTTGTTGTGGGCCCTTTCCACAAGCGGTGAACGCCGCGCATTTGTGGTGAAGGGAAGAGGTACCACTTGGACAACCAATGAAGAGGTGATTGTATATACGTAGTATGTGCTATCTGGAGGCATACAGTCTAGGATCGAAATAATTAAACACCTAACATAATTGTGCCGGAAATTTGGGCGCATTCCAGTAATGTAACATGAGATATCCGCTTTGATAACCTAGTCAGTCTTGGTATTTTTGCTACCATAAAAAGAAGGATTCGGAGGAATTTCAAGAAGAACACTTTCTAAAAAGGCCAACTGCTAGTAAAGCTGTCGATAACTCCGTTATCGGAGAATAGCGATTCATCCATTCACTTTAATGATAAATTGTAATAGCATGTTTCTAAAAGTCAAAACCACCATCAGCTTGCTTGTAAGCATCCCCTGAGCTTTTCAATACAGTGAGGTGCTTGAACATTCGTTCAAAAAAAAAAAGAAAAAAAGCAAAACCTAGGTAAGCATGACAAATATTTTGTATATCTGTTAATTCGAGGAAGTTCGGGGAAATCTTATTAATGTTGGCTGCTAATGTGTTCTGTTTTAGGTATTATTACCCGTTGATTAATCAAGTTTGTGGCACTGATTTGTTTGGTTACCTGATGTATGTTCCATGCAATCCACTTGACATTATTAAGGTAAATTCTTGCTTCAAGCCTCATCTCCCTTCTCGCGAAAAACAAAAAAAAATGTACCATCCTTTCAAAAAGCATGGTAAGGAAAACCAAAGAAAAACGATGCTTTTTTTTTTTTCAATACTTTTGTTCTAGAGTGAATACGGCAAGAATTGGAAAAAACCGATTCTTAGTAGTCAATACATATGGAACCGTTCACCACATAATATGAAATCAGCTGGTGTATACAGTATATATGAGATGCGCAGCGCTCGTAAGGATTATGGCTAATCAAAAGGAATATTGTTCATCCACTCGCAGCAGTTTGCAGAAGGCGCATTGATTAGAGGATACTGATTTTAACTTCTATTTTCATTGTACCATTAAAGTGGACATTAATTAAGTGAAATTGTGACTCAGACACACTGATCTTTTTATTGTACACTTTGTCAAAGTTGTTTATCAGTAAATAATGTGTTAAAGTCGTATCGCAATATATCAAATAGTGATTAATGGTTTTTCGCTAAAAATAGATTAAAGACCAACTGCGTCACTATGACGCAGTACCCCTGTCCCTGGTTCAAACTTTA